AGAAGATTCTTGTGCAAGCCCTCAGAAGACCTTGGCTTATCCTGAGGGTAAAAGTGGGGACAAGGGTCCCCTAACAGGGACTGAGAGGGAAAAGGCTGCTGATGGGTGCAGTAGGACTGGTCAGGGGGAGCAAGTCACCAATAAGAGCTTTAGCTCAGCCCAGCATACCCTTTTTCCCAGCTCACCCAAGGTGCCTCTGCCTGCTCTTGTCCTGGATCTGATAGCTGGTTCAGAGTGAGGCCCCAGTTGGCCTAAGCCATGCTTAGGCCTCATGGGGGACTGCATATGTGACCTCAGGCTTGAGTATAAAATGGTTTAAGGTACGTTGGGTGAAAAAACTATTAAATGTTTACTAGCTGAAGGCAGCACTGGTGACGTAATGGGAAAGGAGTTGTGCTGCTAACCCAAAGGCAGGTAGTACAAATCCACCAGCTGCTCCAAGGGAGAAAGACGGGCAATCTCCTGTTGTGCAATTTACAATTAAAACCTGCCAGAGGGTCAGCTATGAGTCATTTCAGATTTGACAGGACTTGACTGCACTAGCCAAAAGGCCAGCCGATCAAACCCATGTAGCTGTGCCTCCGACCAAAGCCCAGGGTCGGCTTCTGAAAGGCATCCTGCAGAGTGTGGTCTGTCTGTGCACACACAGCATTCCTGTGAGTCACAAGCAGCTCAATGGCAGTTAACAATATCAGTAGAAGTGTGATGTCAGGAATAAACTCAAGAACGAGAAAAATATTAGTTAAAAAAATCCCAACCAAACAAAAGAACACAGAAATGTGTATGAAGGGCAATCAACTCCTACACAGTTTACACTGCATATGAAAACCGCCTGGAGGGACAGCTGTGATTCAGTTCTGACTCCGCAACACACACAACAACAACAACAACAGCATGTCTAAGCAGGGCAGCCTCTGAGGGGAGAACTCCACAGGAGCCCCATGCATAACTGAAAATCACCTACAGCTACAGTGGCCTAATCTGGAGGGAGTTGTACTGCCAAGCCAAGGCAAGATGCTCTAATTCACCAGCTGCTCTGAGGTAGAAAGTTGAGAAATCTCTCCCATGTGTGGGTTGTGATGGTGGTGTTGTTTGCCACTGGGTCAGAACCGACCCCTAGCTGATCCTCCAGCACGTTCTTAGAGGCAGTAAATAGCACAGGAGATCACTCATCCTCCTCCCTCTGCAGCTCCTGACCACTGGACCACCAGAGCTCACAGCCCCTGAAAACCCAGTAGTGGGTCAGCTAGGAGTCCGCTCCTGCTTGACAGTAATGAGTTTGCGGTTTTTAATTGGAAAACATCTAGTCACTATGAAATGCTAGTGGCATTACTAAAGATTATTTTTTATTAATATTTTTCTTATTCATATACATTGTGTCTCATGCATGTATATTGTGGGTTTTAAAAAAATTTCCTTTTATATTGATTTGCTTACAAAATTCATATACATTCTTCCTTACCTGTTATGTCCCAGGACCTGTACTGGGTGAATGGCACAGTGCAGGACTTCTCTATAGAGGTCTAAGGTGAATCTAACATTCTACAAATATGTAAGTTCAGCATGAAATACTGGATACCACTGTCATAACACTGAGCACTAATGGGGTGCTTACCTTGTGCCAGCGTTTCTGTGCATTTCCCATGGCTTAGTGAGAGATGTTTGGCAGGCACCCATCAGCCAGCCCTGGCACCTCCCTGACGCCTCTGCACCGAGGTTCCTGGGATCGACAGGCAGGAGCCCAATTGTAGGGAGTTAATCCCTCAACTCTCCACCCCCCAGGTCAACCTGACTCCCACCAACTAACCTTCAGCAGAGAAATATAGAAGGGTTTTTGTTTCAGAAGAAAGAAAATGTTCCCGGAAGAAATTCTGACATGCAAAAATATTTTCATGCCTTCTGAAAGAAGAGCAGGGTAGAGAAGATTTGTTAATGTCAACAGAAAGGAACAGTAAAGCTGATACACAACTACATTAAAATTAAAAACTCACTTTATCAAAATATATCCGAAAATGTGGGAGGCATATGCTGTTGTTGTTGTTGTGTACCTTCGAGTCAGAACCTATCCATAGCTGACCCTCTAGAGGGCTTTCAGGGACAGTTGCTTGGGGGTAGATTGCCCATCCTTCTCCCACAGAGCAGCTTTTGGATTTGAATCGCACGCCTTGGGAATTGCAGTGCAGCTTCTTACTGCAAGGCCACCAGAGCTCCCTGCTACATCTTGACAGAAGATATTTCCAGGACACCTATAAGAACCTGCAACAAAAAAAGAAAAGAAAAAAAAAACACAACAAAAATGTCACAGAAAAATAGATCTGGCCAGGGAGTCTGTGAAAAGCATCTCATTAGTAATAAGGAAATGGAAATGAAAATCTAATGAGATGTAGGATCACTTTGGAGTTAAGTGATAAGGAATTGTGCTACCAACCCAGAGAGGCGTGGTGCAAATCTACCTGAGATTCCGCTGCAGCTGTGCCACTGGAGGATGGGAGGATGGGCAATCTCCCCTCATGTGGGTCACTATCTCTAAAACACTTGCTGGAGGGGTCAGTTACAAGTCTGTTCAAACTCAATGGTACATAACAAAGCAAACGCGCACAACAATAAAATCTATGGAAAATATCAAGGAATAAAAAAAAAACCCCACAAACCACAACTCATTGAACCAAGTAAGTTTAGCAAGTCATAAGATCACACACATACATAAATCACATTTCTACTGCCTAGACATAAATAATTAGGAAATAATTATTTTTACATCATCAAGGTAATTTTTAAAGTTTTTAATTTATTTTTGAGAAAATAAAATTTGTAAAAAGCTATTTATATTACCTTGCCCCAAATAAGACGTGTAGGTGTAAAATCCAGCAAAATGTGTATATGAGGATAGGTGTGCTCAAAATGACAAAAGATTAACAAAAGAAGCCAAAGACTTTATTCTTTAGAGGGACTAGAAAAATGGCATAGGAAAGATGTCAGTTATCCCCTGACTTATCTAAAGATCTAACACAATTAGGATCACAGGCACAGTGGGATTTTGAGTGGCAAGCTGACGCCCAGGGAAGAGGATCACTCCGTGTTGTGAGATGGGCAAACTCTGAGACATGGTCTGTTCCTGAAAATAACTGCTCAGGAGTAGTCACATGCACCGGCAACTTTTTTGATAATTGCAGATTTATAGGAATTTTAACATCTGATAGTATGGTGCTTCCAAACCACAAACCCAGAACCCGTCCCCTTCACCCTAAACGTTAGCAATATCAAAGTCTGGCAGTTTCTTCTTCAGGTTATTTTATTACTTTATGGTGGATAAACTCCAGTGTATCCATTGAGTGTCATAAGAAATAGAAGATTGTTACTATTGGTAGTGGCCCTAGTACTCTCACTCCCTATGCCATAACACTCTCTCTCTCTCTTCCCCCACCCCCACCTCCCCAAGCTGAGTCCTTGCTAAGCAGGTTCTGAGTAAAATGGTTCTGAAGGAAGTTGACAGTAGTGGTAACTATACACTGACATTGTTTGGGCCAATAAGACATACACATTCCTGGGCTGTATTTTTACCTTTTGAACTTGAGGGGCAGGGGCAGGACTAGGGTGAGGCAAATCAAATGCTTTAGGTATACATTCCATCTGGCACTCACCCTCAGAGCTGTGCAAATGCTGAATGGCATCCACACAGAGACCTGCAGGATGTGTGGTCTGGAAGCCACAGAGGTGGGCTAGGTGGGCAGCTGAACTCATTCACCCACGTGGTGCTTATAAAAAACACAAGTTTAGCAGGTGTGAGGAGAGGGAGACCTGAGGAAGGATGTGTCAATTTCCCAAAGAAGCTTGATGAAAGAAGTGCTCAGAAAGACTGAGAAAAACAGCAAAACCACATGGTCAAAGTGACAGTCCTTTTCCTATAGGCCTCACACTGGACGTGCTGACTGCTGGGCATTCCATTCCTCCTCTAGACTCCTCAGCAGGGGTGCAAACCCAAAAGCAGACAAAGACAGCAGGAAAGAGAGCAAGGAAAAGTAGGGTTTGTTCAGCAAGCAGACTCTAGAAGGTGGACAGAGCTGGTGGACAATTAAACTACAACAATATTGAGCAGCTGATGCTTCCAGTTGGGGTGAGATTTTTGGATCTGGAGGCTCCACATTAAATGCCCAGAGGGCCAGGTGGGCACTGCCAATAGATGAAGGGAGTTGAGAAGGAGCAAATAGAACTTCAGGTGCAAGTGAGCAACAGTGAATGAGCCCTGCTCTGGCATGGGGCTATGAAGGCCGAGGGGTCTGTGGTCCAGAGGACTCAAAATCCTTTTGAAAAGGTCAAGGACAACTCATTTCCAATTACTGTAGCCTAAGAAACAGGCCCGCTTTGGCCAAAACTAGTTTTCTCAAGAAATGTCTGAGAATTAGGCTGTTCTCATGTGAAATAGTCTCTTTCAAATGTTAGCAGTTTCTTCAGAAATGTTTTGTTTATGTGTATGTTTAACTGTACATGACAGTAATGTTTAGGCCAAGAACAAATGTGGTGGGTCAAAGCTGGCCTCCATAATCTACTAACAGCCTCTGCACTGCAACCTTGAATTCCTAACAACATCAAGTTAATGATCAAGTCACTTCTGATCCATGGTGATCCTGAATTACCACGCAGAACTGTGCTCCAAAAGGTGGCCAACTGTACTTGCAGTCTTCATGGGGTCAGTCATCAGGCCTTTATTCTGTGTGGTCTCTGGTGGACTTGAATCCCCAGCCTTTTACAGGCCATTTGCACCACCCAGAGGGCTCATTTTGGTCTGTGATTCCAAGGGACAGTCTTCTTTCCCCATCTCCGCCCAGGCTCCCACTAAAGTTCACCTGAACTGTCCACTACTCACCTCTCCCCTCAGCTAGAGAAAAGAAGTAAGGAGCATTGCTCACCCACTCCACCTCCCAGCCCCCAGCGGGAGGAGAGAAACGGGGAGTGCACTGCCCACCAGTACTGAGGCATCCTCCTTGTGCCTTGTCTTGCAGGTATTCGGGTTCTGGGTGTGGATCCTGGTCGCCGCCACCCAGGTGGCACAGCCCTTGCTCCAAGGATGGGTGATGTATGTCTCACTCACGTCATTCCTTATCTCCCTGATGTTCCTGCTGTCTTACTTGTTGGAATTTTACAAAAAGTTTAGCTCCTGGAAAGTCCTGGTAAGAACTAGAGGGGCTCCTCCTTGACTGATGCCCTGGGGCTGTGAGGACAGTGGACTCTTCCAGGTGGGGCGAGAGAAGGAGGCCAGGGAGGTGGTCAGAGAACAGAGACCATTCCAGGGCCAAGGGGCTTCTCCTTCTTCCCCCTCCTCCTCTCTCTTTTTTCTTGTACCATTGATTCACATCCACCTAGAACAGAATGAGATTGCCTCTCCTTCTCCAGTGGAGCATCTGGTGGATTCAAACCACAAGCCTTTGGGACTGCAGTGCAGCTGCTTGCCACTAGGCCACCAGAGCTTCCCTTGGGGAATCCTTATTTTAATGTGTTCAGTAGTGGTGGTGGTGTGTACCATCGAGTCAGAACTGACCCATAGCTGACCCTCCAGCAGGTTTTCAGAAGCAGTAATCGCACAGGAGGAGACTGTCCATCCTTCTCCTGCAGAGCAGCTGGTGGATTCTAATCAAATGCCTTTGGGTTGGCAGTGCAGCTGCTCAGCACAAAGCCACCAGACCTCCATAAGGTGTTTAACAGTAAACCCCACTGAAGCATTCCTCTGCCAGAGCACAGCTTCCACTGTAACCCTTTGCATTGCTTTCCTGTATGAACCCACACTGCCCTGTAAGTAAACATTTAAACGTGTCCTCTCTACTTCATTTCTGGTGAAATAACAGGAGCAGCACTGAAGAAAACTCTCAAAAAGTCAGGCATTGTCATGGAATCGAAACCAACTCATAGCTGACCCCACATCATGTTTCCAGAAGTACAGAAGGATATTCTCCCACAGAGTTACTGTTGTATTCGAACTGCTTGCCTTAGGGTTAACAGTACAACTCCTTGCCACTAGGCCACCAGAGCTCTAGAAGAGAAATCAGCTCACTCTCAAGGCCCTACCACCACCACTGGGGTCATTCTTCCAAGTTCCATGTTTTAAGTATGATAGACAGAGAGGCAAAAATCCACTGCTACTGAGTTGATTCCAACTTTTGACAACCCTTCACCTCACCATGTCTCCAAGGTTGTATATCTTTACAAAAGGAGATTGCCTATCTTTCTCCTGAGGAGTGGCTGATGGAGCTAAACCCCCTACCTTTTGGTTAACAGCCCATGCCACCTTAGAGAGCTACAGAGTTAAAATCACATTGGACAAACAATCCTGGATGTAGGTTCCTGTATTTAATATTACATGATTGACTTTTTTCACATTGTTGCATCATCTCCACATCCATGTAAACAATTTTTACACTGACCAATGTAAAGCACACACAAAAGCAGAGACAGATTATTATTGACTTGCAAGTAACTATAATTCAAATTCTAGTATTATCAAGATTTTACCACACTATATCATCTAGTCCCTTTTCTCTCCTTGAAGAATTTTTTTTTCTCTCTCTCTCTAATATATTTTTCTTAAAAAAAGACATGAAGAATTTTTTTAAAACCTCACATATCATGTCATCTCATGCCACATACTTGATCTCCAAGAAAGGCTTAATCTCTCTTTCACATGATTCTTTAACTGTTATTCACTCTCTCCCCCCAAGTCCACTCTGGATATTTTATGTACTACACTAGAATGGCCTTCCTTGCTAGTAGTTCAAGAAAACAGGCCAGTTGTCTTGTGGAAGGACTAGCTCCTGCATGTGTCTGTTCTCACCCTCTTGGTGGATTTATGTGTCCCTCTAGTTGCTGCACTTTTGCCTGGCTAGCAGTGAGCACCAAAAGCTGGGATAAGTACTGGACATTGCAGGCGAGAACACACTCCAAGTGACTTCATATCACATCACCATGGTGACTAAAGGGCCCTCTCTCAGGATGGAAACAGCATTAGCTCCTCAACTCCCTGCTCCACTGATGATGATTTCTAAATGACATATTTTTTGGGGGGTTGCGAGTTTCAGGCTCATCAATTGTAACATTCCGTCTAGACTTTATAACCATATTGCACTATATTGTCAGTGAATTAAAAATTTAACAGAGCTTAGAGTTTAACAGAGAGGTTCCACATTTGAAATATGGAATCATATGCTGACTAACAAGTCTAATGTGTGTTGGCTAAGTGTTGATGTCCTCATCTGTAAACAGTGGGGTCAGCTGTGAACATTAAGAGACAACTCTTTGCCATTGGGTTGGAACTGACTCATAGCTGACCCTTCATTGTGCTTCTAAGACTGTAAGTTGTACAGATAGAGATAACCCATCCTTTTCCCTTGGAGCCACTGGTAGATTTGAACAGGAGTGCAAAATCTCTATAAATGGGAAACACAGAATAAGTCTGCAGAACAGCAATAGATATGAACATAACCTTGGTGTTCATGTGGCCTGTGTTCAGTTACTTACCCATCAGCCTTAACCTTGACCTGCAATTTTCTGAAAACGGGCCTAGTGATAAATAGTGCCTATTTCTGAGCTGACAAGTTTAACTGAAATACATGAGAAACAGCCTAACATAGAGCACAGCATCAAATGCCCACTCAATAAATGCTGACTGGAACTGCTGTTATTATCTCTGCCATTCCCCTAGTGTCCACTACATAGCTATTTCCAGTAGCAATATTGAAGCTAATAAAAGGAAAGATTGGGATAGAGCTTGTCTTGGTGGGGTGGTCTGAAAGAAGGACACTCATTTCGTCAGCCACCCCAGTGATGGTGGTCGTGGCCTCTGTTCTGTGTTTAAAGGACAGCCTGTACCACGGGACCACTGGCATCCTGTACATGAGCGCGGCTGTCCTGCAAGCTCATGCCACAATCCTTTCTGAGGCTGGTGGACCCCCGAACTACTATCTAAACACGGCGGCTTCGGTGAGTGGCTCTGTTGCTGCTGGCCAGGGCGTTTAAGGCCACGTTGCTGGAAAGTATAATGATACGTGGCCTTGCCTCCCTTGGAGCAAATGACCCTGACCTTGCAAGCTAAAGGAGCTACAGAGGATGGGATTAAGGTGTGTGCGTGTTTGCCTGCGTGTTCACTTGTGTCCACCCGTGTGCCAGGCCCACGGCAGGTATGTGTGTGCACACCTACGTGTTCACATGTGTCCACCCGTGTGCCAAGCCCATGGGGAGGTGTGCATATGTGTGTCTACATGTTCACATGTGTCCACCCGTGTGCCAGGTCCAAGTTCAGGGTTTTCTCTTGCCTTCTGTGTTTTTCCACCTCAATCTTGCTCCCTTCTCCACATTTGTCATCTTCAAACTCATTTTCTACTTCCAAAAGCACACATTGGAGCATGTGTGTCTCTCTCCTCTTGAAAGTCTCTGGCAGCTCCACTGCCTACAGAGTAAGGCCCTGAAGCCCAGATTCCTCGTCCTGTTCCCTTGTTTTTTTTATTTCAGTGACAGAAATCCAGTCTCTCTCAGGCCAGCAGAGCAGTATGTTGGCTAATAGAACCCAAAGCCAGGGGACACAAGCAAACCACGGGAAGGACAGTGACCCAGCCACTGGACACGTGGACCAGAGCTAGTCTTGCCCCTCTGCAGGCTCCCATTCCTTGCCATGCTATCTGTGGCCTCTCACCACAGAACCTCCCTGCTGCCTCCAATCTTACCTTGAGCATTTCCAAGGACGGACTCTGACTGAATTTGTGCCCATCCCCAGGCCAGTTATCTGTGAAAATGTCAGGTCTCTATCATGCTGGCAGGCACCAGGAGGAAGGGGTAAACATAAGGTGTTGTCGCCCAGAGTAAGAACGAGGCATTGGGAAAACAGTGGGGATCCACTAGCGTGGCCTTGTGGTATGTTCATCTGCTTTTCCACTCTTCCTCCTGGCCCTCCTTGTCCACCTATTCTGATTTCCTTAAACTCCAAACATACTTCCCATGTGAGGGCCTTCTCCCAGGCCCTTTCTCCCACCTTCTTTTATCCGTCAGCTTGCACTGAAGGCCCCGTTGGAGTATCTCACATCCCAGGCTAGCTCTCCTCCATGGAAGCACAGTGTTCCTGTCCTGGGTCCCTCCACTAAAGAGGAGTCCTGGGGTTGAGGGGACAGGTGCATGAGATGTAACCTGGTAAGGTCTTTCCCAAACCATCACAGCCCACATAGGCTATTTTTCCTCACCTGGTTCAGGTGCCTCCATGCTTGGAGGTACTGCAACCGGATTTCATTATACATAGGTTCCCCAGACAGGAATAGATACCCATTCAGGGTGCCTTGGACAGTCTACTGCTTCTTGGCAATGCTTATCATATCATAATTTTGTGTCTGTGAATGAGTCCCTCACTGCCTGTAGATTCCAAGAGGTCTAGAAATGGGGCTTTTCTCATCCACCACGCTGTGCCTAACCTTGTGCAAACAACGTGCTTTTCCCAGTGGGAGCACAGCTGGACTCTCCCTCCTCAGTGACATGGGGTCACCGTTTCCTCGTTGACTCCTGCTCCAAGTTTCTCTCTCTGTGCCAACTTCCTCAGCAGTCTCTCAGCCTCTGCCCACTTCCCACGTGCTAAAGGCTTGGTTTGCAGCCGTTTGCAGCTGTGTCCACTCTTTCTTCGCGTGTTCTTCAACCCAAGTGGCTTATATTCTGGCACAAGTGCAGACCTCCTCTACTAATGAAACATGAAATGTAAAAAAAGTGAAGATCTAGGAAGATAAGCAGTTGTAAAAAATGGAATAAAGCATAAAGATCCACATCCTAGGCATTAGAGAGCTGAGATGGACTGGCATTGCCCAATTTTAATTAGAAAATTATCTCTGCTCCTCAGAGGCAAGGACTGTGAAACTCCATCTTACCAACTTCAGGCATGTTGTGAGGAGAGGCAAGTCCTTGGGACACACTGGTCAAGGTGGAGGGTCAGAAAAAGAGGGAACCCTTTACAAAAAGACTAGAGGTAGTGACAATGACCATGGGCTGCATATCAGAGATCATGTGGGTGGGCAGGATGGGGCAAGGGTCAGATGCCAGCTGTTATCTGTGGTGTCACTATGTCAAAGTCGAGCACTGGCATCTAACAACAACAACAACAACACAGGGGCCTGGCTTAGCTTGTTATTCCTCAGCCATGTAGCATCCTTCTCCCTCAGCCCTGTGGCCAACTAGGGAAATGATTTTCTGGTTTCTTAGTTCAAATTCCTAAGAGAGACAATGTTACTGGCTCAGCCTATCTTCTTGTTCGGGTTGTGGCTCAGATCCATCCACTCAAATATGACAGTTCCACCCAAGGATAACGTTTCCAGGAAGACAGTGTAACTGGCTCTGTCAGAAGTTTCTGGAATTCAAGGAAGATGAGACTGGGTAATAATTGTTGCCTTCGGGCTGGTGGGATATGGGGCAGAGAAGGGACAGCAGAGTCAGAATATGTGGTCTCCTGTGAGGAGACAGGGCAGGAACCAAGCTCATCACTAACACCCGACTCCTCCATCTTCTTCCAGTTTTTTACCTTCATCACCGCCCTGCTGTACATCCTTCATGCCTTCAGCATCTACTACCACTGAGACAGACGCCAGGGAGCAATGCCAGAGCAGGAAGTGCTCGTGTAAACCTGGCATGTTGAACCCCCAAACAGTTTCCAGTCTTTGCCATCCGGATGAGAAACAGAAAGTCAACAGATCATCTTTTCAGACTGAGTGATAAAAAATCACTTTGACATTTCTGTTAGGACATTTTAGATCATTATGTTGAATATGAAAAGGTGTTCTTTTTCCTGGGAAAGTAAACTGTTCTCTTGGGATTATCTGATAATGAACACAACTCTAGAAACTACCATCCATAACCTCACCACTGAGGGAACCCACTCAGCCCCAAAATTGTCACATGGCTTGGAGGTTCTGTCTCAGCAGTGGGGTCCCCCATAGATAGTAGGGGTAGGGGACATTCAGTCAACAATGTCTAATGCTGGTCCCAGACCTGGCTTCGGTCCCAGGCCTCTGTGTTCTCTGGGGAGCAGTGCCCAAGCCAGCTCTCTCGCCTCCTTGCCACCTCCCCATTTCCCCATCAACAAGGACAATCCCTCTCCCCTTATATCCACCTCTCTTTCTTTCCAGCACCGGGAGCCAAGGACTACCAACTTAAAATGAACTTTGAAGGTAGTTTTTGAGGTAAATAAATGACTGACCATATAAAATTGTTGTAAAGGCCTGAGAAGTCCCTGGCAAACCAATATTGGAGGTTTGAGTTCACCCAGAGTACATTGGCAGAAAGGCCTGCTGATCGACTTCTGAAAAGCAGCCCTAGAAGCCCCTCTGGAGTGTGATTCTCTCATGATAATGCCTGCTAAGGGCAGGGGATAGGGCCATTGAAGCCCCTCTGGACCGCAGTTCTCCTGTGGTAAGATCTGCTGAGAGGCCAGGGACAGGGGAGTGAGGGACAAGGGAAGAAGTAGCCTGATTTTTCCTCAATCAGCTTGCTGTTTTTCTGTCAGGCCTCCAAGGTCTACACCCAGTCCTTTAGGAAAGAACAGTGTTGATGTGAATCACCTCAGCAGGAAGTGAAAGGATGGCTGTCACACCAACAGTGTCACCTGCTCTCCTTGCATTCAAGAACTTAGTGTCACCTCCTTCTCTGGGGCCTCTGGCCCCGTGGAGCCATGTCTACACTTCTGGACCATTTTCCAATAAAACTAGAATTGTTCATTACAGAAACATGCATCCACGGTGCTTGATTCCAAAGTAAACACTTTGCTCATCCCAGTGTTTCTTGCCTGGCCCTCTGCTGCTGAGGGGCTTCAGGCCCCGCCCCTCTGCACAGTTCCTTACCCCTGGTGGATCAGGCACAGTGTAGGTGCTTGCTGATTTTAAATGACATAAGTTATTATGTGAAAAAGACTTTTCTTCACTGATTCTGCACCCTATAGTTTCGTACCAGCTGGTTTTGCTCCTGGGACCAATGCTGTGGACTGCTTACTGTCTCATCACCGTGATGTCTTAAAAGCCACCATTTACCTGTCGTTTTTATTGCCTGGCAGCTGTCTGGATTATTCCTGTTGAATATTTACTGAGTAGTCACATACTAATAAACACAGTTTGTACAATACAAAGTGGTGGATCCATTGCTTTCATGCCATCAGCGATGGACCCCCCCAACAATTTCATACTGTGTCATCAGTTTCACAAAGGCACCCTTGGGTGAATTTAAGGGGCACCCCAAGTTCCCCAAAGGCAAATGGCCCTCACCCTGGCCCTTGCTCTCAAGGCAGCATACCGAGGGTCCCAAGTTTGTCTCCAGGGGTGTAGGTTTGTGACATGATTTTTATGTCACTGGCTTAGTCCTTGTAGACGTGCAGTATTCTGGCAGTTCAAATCCACCAAGCAGTTCACAGGCAGAGAAGTGGGCAATCTCCTTCTGTTCGATCCACAGCCTCTGAAAACTTGCTGGAGTGCCAGGTGAGAGTGGGCTCCATTTCCACAACAGTGACTGACTTGACACTTTGGTTACATTTCCAGATGTAAAGTCACAGGAGCTAAGGTGTAGCTGGGATGGGCTGGCCAGGTGGGGAGAGGTGAGGAGGCCTTCAGGAGGGGCAGACCTCTAGCCACCTCCCTGTGCTGAGTGTTTCTGTCCTTCCTGTACTCTAACTACATTGCTACATTGCAAAGGCTTGTCCAGGCACCTCAGGCACCTCAGTGGACACTGTCACCCACCTAAATGCCCCAGATTTACCTGCTATTGTGCAGCTCCAGCTCTCTCTTCCCGCTTCATAGCCACTTCCTTTCTCTCCTTGTAGGGCTTTCTTCAGACACCACTTCTTCTTTTTTTTTAAAATTTAGTTTATTTTTCATTTCAATGAACATCTACAGAGATTTTGGAATTCCATTCATTCATTGTTGCACCCTTCTCCCCGCACAACCCCCCCCCCGCCCGCCCCCCCCCATTTGCTCCTCTCCTTGAAAAGCAAAAGAAAAACTCACCACTTCTTATACACCCAACTGTGCATGCGTCAGGGGCCTTCCCCACCCTGTCCCTTTGCCTGACGCACCACCTTCTCTTTGGGTTTCCTTGGATCCTGGCAGGATCCTTCTCTCTGGGTTTCCTTGAAGTTCGTCAGGGTTTGCATGTCACAGCCATCTCCTGAGGGCCTACTGTGTGCTGGGCTCTGGGTATATGACCTTGGGAAACAGAGTCCAGAAAACGAAACCCTGTTGCCCATAGTTGAATGCTATACCAGATTTGATCCGTGACTTCCTCCAGGATACTGTTTGGGTTATGAGCTCTTACAAATAACCCACAAATTCAAACCCACTGCCCTGCAGTCAGTTCCAACTTGTGAGTTGAAAAACAGAAGCGGAAAATATTTTAAGTTGAAAACCAACCTGGGGCTGGCAGATACCTCAACTGACAGGGTGATGACTCTCCCCTCTCGAGGAAGAATATAGCAGTTGCTCTCCCCCTCCCCCCCATTCCAAGCCTGATCACTTCTGAGAAACCTGATAACATCTAAGCTGGCCATATCAAAGACCAGACCAGACAATGGATCCTGATAAGGCTCTGAATCTGATAAAAATAGCCCAAACCTAACTTAATTAACACCCCAAATTCCAAGAAATACCATCTTTCTTAGTCCTCTCCAGAACCCCTATAAAAAGGAACCCCTGTCAAATTGACCAGGTGCCATTTTAACTCTCCGTGTGCTGTGCAGCCGGGTCACTTGGCTTCCCTCTCAGACCATGCAAATGCAGAAAATGCCTGTTCATTTCTTGGGACCAGTTTGTTTCTTTGTTTCTTTTTCTCTCTCACCCTCAACACTCTTTTTCTATCTAACACCCTCTCTACCCCACTCCAATGTTCCAATCAGAGGAAGAATATGAAAGAAGTATGTGGAAGTTGCCCCACCATCCCCAAGCTTGATCACTTCCTGAGAAACTTGATAACACCTAAGCTGGTCATATCAAAGACCAGACTAGATGATAGATCCTGATAAGAGTCTGAACTTGGTTAAAAATAGCTAAAACCTAACTTAATTAACACACCAAATTCTGGGAAGTACCAACTTAGTGCTCCCCAGGACCCCTATAAAAAGGAAACCCCCAAACTGCCCGGGGACCATTTCAATCCTGCCCATGTGCTGTGCGGCCAGGTCACTTGGCGTCCCTCTCAGACCACACAATAAAGGCCTGCTGTTTGTTTCTTGAGACCAGTTTCTTTCTTTGTGTCTCTCCTTTGCTCTTTTTTCTTTCTAACAGAATGTAGCTTGCTCACTCCTTGAAGAAACCTGATAATATCTAAGGTGACCTGACCAAAACCAGACCATACAGGGGATCCTGATAAGACTCTGGGCCTGATCACAAAAGCCCATGCCCAAGTTAATTAACAGCCCCAAATGACAAGCAAAACACCATCTTTCCTAGTCCTCCCTAAGCTCTCTATGAAAAGAAACCACCCTTGACTGCTTTCGAGCCATTTTGACCTTCTCCATGTGGTCACTTTGCATCCCTCTCAGACCTGTTCGTTTTGAAAGGTCGCAGAGGAATGACAGATTCCCGTTCAGGCCAAGAAAGACACTTTATCAAGGAGAAACTGCTAGGCTGGCTCTAAAGCAGAAACCAGCCCCTACGTGGAGTTTTATATTGTCTTACAAGAAAATTGGAGAGTTAGGATGTTCACAGCTACTTGGTACCAGATAAGAGAGCAGGTTGGGAGCCACGGATAGTTCTTCCTGGGAAAGGGAGGTGAAATAGTTGTGCAGTCCTAACAAGGATCAGCAGAGCTGCAGCTGCTGCTGTGACCATTACTGCGGCTGGTCTGGGGAAAGGCAGGGAGTTTCCTGAGCCCAGCTTCTTTCTTTCTCTCTCTTGCCCTCAACTCTTTTTTTCTTTCTAACACCAATGACCTTGTTGTTGTTGTTGTTGTTGTTATGTGCCATCGAGTCGCCTGCGACTCATAGCGGCCCTATGTACAACAGCCCTAAACTCCACTCTGTCCTGTGCCAATCGCACCGTCTCTGACACTCCCATCCCAATTATCCCAGTCACTGAATCAATCCACCTCATAGAGGGCCTTCCTCTCCTGCGCCGTCCCTCCACCCTCCCAAGCATGATGTCCCTCTCTAAGGACCGGTCTCTCCTCACTACATGTCCAAAGTAAGTTAGACGGAGCCTCAGAATCCTTGCCTCCAAGGAGCCACCCAGTTTAACCCTTTCCAGGACAAATCTGTTTGTTTTCCTAGCAGTCCATGGTATTCTCAATACTTTTCTCCAGCACCACAGCTCAAAGGCATCAGTTCTCCTTCTATCCTCTTTGGTCATTGTCCAACTCTCTGATGCATAACAGGTGATTGCGAAGACCATGGCCTGTATCAGACGCACCTTAGTCTCCAGAGAGACACCACTGCTTTTCAGCACTTTGGAGAGGTCCCTAACAGCAGACTTTCCCATGGCAATGCACCTTTTAATTTCCTGGCTGCTGGTGCCAAGACTTGGAACAAGGATTACCACGTATCACTTGCATCTTCTTAACCCATGGACTGCCAAAACAAACAAGTCTGTCTTGGAGAAAGTGC